CGGGTTATAAGAGATTGGTGTCACCGTGAGCGGACTAGAGTGTCACCAGTCAGATATAAGGATATCTTCAAGCATTTGGGTATAAGCAGACTGCTGTTTTATTGGAGACCGTTTAGAGCTATCAGCTTTGTAATAATTATTCCATCACCCATGTTCATCATATCTTTCGTTATTTGTTTCATAATGCAGCGAGAATTCTAGTGTGACTGAGTTGTAGTTTGAAGTAGAAGTCGATGACTGCTGAGTTTACAAAACAGTCTTGTTCATTGATGGGCCTGAATACACTCTGGTTTTTGTTTTGTTATCACGGTTGTAACTGATGCAAACAGCATCATCCTAGACGTCTTCCGCAGACGTTACCTACAAAAGCATAGGTCAACAGGGTTAAGATGGAAACACAGTGGTTTATGTCGACCGTAAAACTGTGATTTGACTGACCAGCCGGGGGAAAACTGAACAATCATAACTGGATTATTATTTATCCGCTGACCTAGACTAACGACGAAGTATTTTTTAAAGGAACAATTCATGGTGAGTCTGTTACATTTGACCCTCTCTCTCAGGGTACACTCAATCTGGCATTATTATTTTTATTTCCTTGCCACACACTCCTGGTGAGGTAGTCTTCAGGGTAGCCGAACCGCCACACTGCCATAACAACTGTGGCCGAATTGTCGTGTAACGGCAGCACGCCAACTGAATCGCTGGAGAAAGGATACCTTTACCAATACCTCGACTCATGCTCTATTACACATTCCGAGTTCAACGAACAATATTACGAACAAGTATAAGGGCCATCAATGGGATCAACGATTTCAGGACTTATTGCAGAAAGTACGATGCAAAAGCTGAAACAAATTGCCGGATATAAATCCCAAAGTGCTGATCCCTCGTGTGGATGCTATTTTTTATCATCAAAAAGAACGAACTGCAGCGAGAAAGCCAACTGGTAAACATTGCTTGTGGAGACATCAAATTCACAGAGAACACCGGAAACTGACATCACTGGATTATCAAACAGATAGCCACAAAATTAGGTCTACAGAAAGGCTGCGAACATAGACCGAATTCTGAGTTGCCACAGCTACCATCCAAATCGCCACAAACTAAGCTTAATCCGCACACTTTTCAAACTTATCGGGACACATTGCAGCAAAACAGAATCCAAGATTAAAGAAGAAAAATCCCGGGAAAATATTCCCAGAGATATCTACACCCGAGTGATTTTATCTGGAGATCACTCAGAAAGCCAAACGGGACTAACGCAGCAGTACATAACGGATGCAAACGAGTCACACTTCCATACATCAGGAACATCAACGAAATAGCGGCAAAATACTTACGACGGAACAGCATGTCGGTGGCCTACAAACCTGCAAACACTTTGGGGAGGTCGCTGTCGAAACCAACAGGAAAATTATATCTGACGATGAAGAGAAATATCACATACAGGATCCTACGCAAGGACTGTGGCGGACGATATATGGAACAAACATGATGAAAGCTCTACACCAGAATACGTTGACATAAACTCGCTTCAGAAATACACGATCATTTTCCTCTCATCTCCGTGCACAAGTATCGGGAAGGATACGAGTTCGGCTAGAGTGGTGTTCGCCCATTGGCTCAAGCAGGAACTGAAAAAGAACAAACTGACGAGTAAATCCACGATTAACGCTGTCACCTAACTACCCAATTACGTTAAAAAATAACCGGTAGCCTTCAGACGGTGTATGAACGCACGTAAGCAAACAGAAGATGGACACACGTGTGGTGGCGAAACGTTTGTAAGCTAATTACCAAGCTCGGCTAAAATAAAACAGTCACCTGATCAACGACCGGTAAGAAGGTCAATTAAGTAAGCAAGATTGAACTTTGTTTGACCAAAGAACTGTGCGAAGAGTAGCCTACCTGATACCTAGACTACCCACCTTGTGGCCTAGCTTCTCACTACCTCACTTGACAGTCATCATCTATCAATAATTCATACCGCTTGGTTACAAAAAGTCTTGTTCCGACACCGGCTTTAAAGCACTCTGTTAGAGCGGACTGAAGTTTGTCCAAAGTTTTCCACACTGCTTTGCGCAAAGTGGTACCAAGTGCCTTTTATTGGACCCGTTGACCCAATCTTGGCAGCGAAGTCGCCTTCTATGCAAAAAAAAGTTTTTGAGTTAGTGTCCTTGAAACTATTTGCGCATTAAAACTTGCTAATTACAAGACGTGTAATTTTTAACATTCTTACCTCCACAGAGCCACACAGTGGCTTGATACTTTGTTTCAAACGCATCTCCGTTCTGTTCTTCCAACGCTCTAAGTGGTAAGGAACAATGTGAATCGCTTCCGTTGGAATTAGTTATATTTTTTTACCATGGTTGGCTACTATCATATTGTTTGTTTCTACTGCAATTTGTCAGTATCAAATATTGGCATATACTTCCAGTGTCTACTTACCTAATTGCGAATTCCAACAACATCAATAGTAAATGCACTCAACCTGTAAAAGCTTAAATCATAACTCTCCTAGCAACATCAAAACCGTCTTTTGGAGGTGTCGTGGATAATATATCACCATAAATGCATAAATTCTGCGGCGTTTTCGTAAGACAGGTTTCATGGAATATCCCATTCTGGACGACCATCAAACACAATTGTATAGAGCTCGGCGGTCTTATACTTTCAGTAGAAATCAAAACGGTCAATAGAAAACACCTCCGCTGATTGGGCCAACTAGAGCCTTATTCGATTCCTTTGCCGTCAGTTTTCCCCCGGTTAATCAGTCAAACCACAGTTTTTACGGTTGACATAAACCACTGTGTTTCCATCTTAACCCTGTTGACCTATGCTTTTGTTGGTAACGTCTGCGGAAGACGTCTAGGATGATGCTGTTTGCATCAGTTACAACCGTGATAACAAAACAAAAACCAGAGTGTATTCAGGCCCATCAATGAACAAGACTGTTTTGTAAACTCAGCAGTCATCGACTTCTACTTCAAACTACAACTCAGTCACACTAGAATTCTCGCTGCATTATGAAACAAATAACGAAAGATATGATGAACATGGGTGATGGAATAATTATTACAAAGCTGATAGCTCTAAACGGTCTCCAATAAAACAGCAGTCTGCTTATACCCAAATGCTTGAAGATATCCTTATATCTGACTGGTGACACTCTAGTCCGCTCACGGTGACACCAATCTCTTATAACCCGAATTCACGTCCATTTTGTAGTAGCTCGTTTAGAATTGGTTGGTTAGCAGACAAGCATTTGAAGAGTTGGGATTATCACTGCTGAATCTTGCCAGAAAAAAGAGCGCTGAGAAGCCATGACATATGTGTGGTGAACGTTGACTCTGTTCTACTCATTCTGTTTAGTGTATTT